ACTAACCAAGTTATTATAAATAAAATAGGTCGTATTAGTTTTATTAATCCACTGTTTAACTCAGATTTGAATTCTTTCGATATTTTTGAACAAAATCTCTATGTTAAACTGTAAGTATGTGAGGAAATATAAGTATTTTAAAACTAAGTTACTTTAAAAGTTCCGCGCCCTTATTTCTTAAGAGGTCGCCTGGACAACTAACGACCACTCCATCCCTACTTTATACTTTTTGAAACAACCGTTGTTACAGAAAGGTTTTTTAATATCTATTGGAATTTATGTGCGTGAGCTGTTTGACTGGCGTGTTAATGAAATGGTGGCAATGTATGGCTTATAAATATCAATAATAAAATAAGTGAACCAACCGGAAGGCAAAAGTAATAATTATTTTAAAGTCAAGATCTTGAAGTCAATAATTAAGTTCTAAAGATATGTAAAGCTAAAACTACTTAGAATGTGATATTATAACGTAAATAAATTTGCACGCTAAAAATTCTGGAAGTATGAAGAAACCCACTCTGACAAGAAAAAAGGTATATAGGGTTTTTAATTTCTTTACAAGTATAAAACATAATACACATAGGATAAATGATAGATAGATCATAAACCCTGGATCATTCAGGTATTTAATTTGACAAATCTGAATATTTAATGGGAGGTAGGAAGATTTTTTATTTATTCATTTATCACAATTGTACAAATATTCGTACAAATGTAACCAATAATGAACAGCGTGCAGCAGTTAATTTATGCCACTGATCACTCGATCACACGTTAATTAACATTTAAAATAAATATAACCTTCTTAACAAATGAACTAAAATGTCGCGCCTCGGGACTTTGGTTAGATAGAAAAGTCATGTGTCATCAAAGTCAAAGTCATCTATACTAATATATAAAGCTGAAGAGTTTATTTGTTTGTTTGAACTATAACATGGAATATGGAAAGACAACGCGTACGCTACAAAAACGGTTTAAGATTAAGATTAACTTGCTAGAACGACGGGAAACGATGAAGAGATTTACAAAAACAAATTTGGATGCCCAAAAGAATGATTCTACGCTGACGAAGTCGCTGACATAGCTAGTGTTATATGGGGTGTACCACCTACCAACGGAACCTCATTGTTCTGTACACTTCTCAGTCAGAAAGAATAAATAAATAAGCCCTCTACGAATACAAATTAACTAGATTACCATCGTTCTTAACGATATACACCGTTGCACATATAATTAGCCACTCCAAACTCGTATACATTTTCCTAACTGGCTTCACATATGAAAAATGCATAGAACTAAAGATGAAAATTAGATCCTAATGTATGCGATGGGGTTGGCGCGTTCACTTGCAAATTAGCTGCTTATTAGAAAGACGCTCTCTTGAGCACGTAGGCACGCACTAACATATTATAATCCGGTAAGAATATTTATATCGAACATATAAGTACTTTGAAGTCGCGGGGTCAATGATCTTTCCAGTACTGAACTTAAGTTCGACATTTCAGTGTCTTTTTCATTTGATCATTGTAACGCCATTATCCTAATATACTAAAGCTGAACAAGTTGTTTGTTTGTTTGAACGCGCTACTCTCAGGAACTACTGGTTCTGATTGAAAAATTATTTTTGCATTGCATGAACCGTTTATCGAGGCTATCAGATCTTTGCTCTGTACGCAAAGATATAGCAAAAATGTGTAAAAAACGGGGAAAATTATTCATCTTTGAGAGTCTCCGATACTTAAGCTGTGAAAACAGTTAAAGAAATAAAAAAAATGTAAAAATAAAAGGGTTTTTCTTTAAATGATCTCAAAAATGTACATGAGTTCAAAACACATGAGTGGTACACTTTTACTATCATTGTATTCGTATATATAATACATTGGCAGTCGTGATTTCAAATTTATCGATAAATACATTTAAGAAAGTTAAAGTTTTAAGTTTAAAGGTTATTAGTTTATAAGACATGTTAAAAAAGCTGGACTGAGTTTCTTTGGTGCGCTTCTCAGTTATGTTGCTCTTTTGATCACTCTGTAGAATGACGACGAACAGACAGACAAACGAAAAAAAATTGTGACAGAATGCCCAATGCGTATGGGCCCTTATAACAGTTTAAAGCATTTTCATTGAAATATTATACTTTGCCTAAAATTCAAACAACATATTTGAAAAAAGGCATAGAAACCTTGGTTTTGTCCTTTTGTCTAACGTCAAACCAAGGACTTTACCAATGTGGCGGCGGTGCGGCTGTATGACGCATTGGTGGGAAGCCATTTAGATTTTAACACCTCTATTTGGGCCCCGGCCGAAGAGAAATATTAATATACACATAAGTATATCTGTATGGTCGAATAATATTATATTCGTATATACATGATCGAGTTAGGTACGGGTGCGTAGCAAGGTAGTAGGTCTGCAGGTTGATCCGCTGAATTTTTCTTTTATTCTAATTAATTTACGCTCGACGCCTTGTTTTATAGATTTTCGAAAATTCGTATCCTGGGATGATTAAGCCTAGGGCTTATATAGTTTTATTTATTGTGTTTTTTAATAATGCACGCACCCGCAAAATTTGCCTACCTCATGAGATTTTAGTACCTATCTACTAGGTAATTCTTTATTGTTGTTATAGTTGTGTTTATATAGTCTATGCACTAATGAATCAATACTATAATGGCTAAATAAAGTACAATTATTGAAAAATTGTTGCACACATAAATATACGTCACATAATATTCTGAATTCTACGAAACAGTACTTACTAACATTTCAAACAAAAACGACACAAAAACACACTCAGAACAAAAAAAACTTTAAAATTATAAAACAGTTGCCGAAATTAAATATATATATATATTGATTTTTATATTCTTTTTTACCATAAAAGGTAAAAAAAATCGCTGAGGACAGGATTCGAACCTGCGCGGGTAGAACCCATTGGATTTCAAGTCCAACTCCTTAACCACTCGGACACCTCAGCTGTGTGTTGGATCGTTAAAAATGTGACATACAATAGAATATAAATCATGTGTTTATGCCCTGTGTATAAAAATAAGACTTGCACTCTGGTAATGCTAGTAGAAGTTTAAAATTTGAAAATCACGATAGTGCATTTCTTTATATTTTTCGAAACAAAAGGGCGTTTCGGAAGCTTTGCAGCAACCGTGGTCACGGGGAGACGTCGGGCCGAAGTTAAAAATCATTTTCAAATTTTTGTTTAACGTTTAACTAATATATCGCGTTTTAAACCATTAGTGTTTTATTTAAATGTGTACTACTCGCGTAAACTTTTTCATATAAAGGATTCCATATAATATCTCCATAAACAAGATGACTGCGCACTATAGAGTTTAACTTTTGGTGTTAAAACCATTCATGTTACGTTTAAAACATCCCAACATTTGTGCAGATTTAGTTCCTGCTGCGTGAATCTGAGGTATGAAAGTTTATTTATATACTTATATAAAATAGTCAAGTCAAAGTAAAAACTCATTTATTCACCTAGGTAACTAAGAACACTTATGAACGTCGCTTACTTTAAAAACTAAAGATTCTAAATTGACATATTCTACCAGTTCTCAAATCAAGCGTAGAACGAACGAGAAGAACTGGCAATAAACTCGCCGCCACTCCTTTATCGCCAAGTTTCATTTTATAGTCTTCACGTTCTTTGAGCCTTCAGGTTGGTACACGTATTTTATCCTTAGTAGGTGTATTGTACTGATTAAAATTACTTTAATTGTTTTTGCATACAAAACATAGTACAACAAGTATATTGACTTGTTAACTTCAGAAAATTCAACGATTTAAACCTATATGAAACATACTCCAATAGGGAAAGACCACAAATCGCTCGAATACGCTCAATTTAATCTGAATTCGATAAACAAGCTAAATTATTATACGTATATAGTTGTATATTTCAAACTTTAACTTTTCTATATATTTTTTATCGAATACATCTAAACGACTTTTGCTGAGTAAAACCTCGATCTCCATGTTTCTCATCAATTTATATTTTTTATAACATGTCACACTTTGTTTGGAAATCTGGAAATAGGTGATAGGAATAAAGCCGTGGCATTTATTCGCGTATCGATTTCAGTCTGTGGCTTTCTAAATATTCAAAGCCCAAATTGGTCGCCGCACATCTTGTTTAGATGATGCTTCTCTTGGTTTAAAACACGAAATGCCGTAGTTAAACTTATTAGAACAATATTTTAACTACGGCCCGTCGTTTCGGATGTTTTGCAGCAGTCGTGACCACGGCTATACACAGTTATAGAAATAGTTTACTGTTTATAAGCGATATAATGAAAATACCAAAAAAAATACCTACAGATTTTTCGCTCTGTACCTTAAATAAAACACGTCTTAACTTTAAATTAAATTAAAAAAACGTCTTAACTGTTTCAATCACAGTGTATATTAGATAAATAATTTTAACTACGACTCGACTTTCATGTGTTTACAGTCTCGTGACTTTGGTTCCTATGAATTTTATATCCGGAGTACCATTTGCGTAAACTACGTGTACCTTTGAAAACAACTGTTTAAACATGACAAGCATGTCCCTAAATTACTATTAAAGTAATCTGTCATTATAATTTTAACATCAATTCATATGGCTGAGGTGTCCGAGTGGTTAAGGAGTTGGACTTGAAATCCAATGGGTTCTACCCGCGCAGGTTCGAATCCTGTCCTCAGCGATTTCTTTTATAATGTATTGAGAAACGATTTAATTTGTTTACGCGTTATTGAGTGTATTTTTTTACCATTTTGGAAAGAATAATATTCGATGTTTATTTTTTCTTAAAAAACTTTTTCGTTAATTGCTATAACACAAAACACCAAAAAAAAAAACATGAAAATCGTATCTTGCTGTCTTAATAATATTGTAAATAAGTGTAAAATTTCTATCTACCAAGACTTCTGTTAGAAGATGAGCACTAGTTTATGTATGCAACTTGCTTATTTGATCCATTAAAAATTGAGTAATTTACCTGCAACTCCGACACCAGGTCTAAGAACATCTCCTAGCAGGTCCTTGATGAGGAAGGATTTGTGGCTGTCTTGCATGCCCGACTCCATTTTCACTTATATTCGAACTATTGAGCGTCTGTCATTATTAAAAATAGTGAGACCTCTTTACTAAACTTCTTTTGAAACCCGAATCCCTTCACTGGGTCAGTGAAAACGTCAAATTAATGACAGCTGCACTTTCCCGCGCATCCGAGATAACTGTCAGCCATGTTCGAACCGTTCAGGCGGGAAAATCTTTTCATTTAGCAACGCCCTACCCCTAACCGCCGTTACATACATTTTCTTGCGGTTTTCACCCAAAATACCGCTTAAACGGGGTTTAAATCGCGTTTAGCATGCGCAGGAATGGCGGGGCGGAGTCCGAGGCTCCGCCCCATCTCGTTCCGCCAATGGCGGGCTCGCAACGGAGTTTTCCGCTCGACTGCTTCGTAAAGTACGCATTCAAACGTTGGTTTAGAGCCGTAGTTATTGAGTTGATTTTTAAAAGACCGTTTTGAATGTAAATCGAAAAGTTAAGCGCGGTAAAGAGGCAGGCCGGAACTCCAATTAAATTGATAGTTGCGGTTTGAGTGCGGGTTTTGTTGTCAACACGACAGATTTTCGCTCGAGTGAAAACTGACAATCAACATTAAAAATGACTTTCCGTTATAATGGAAACGCAGTTTGCGCCTTTTGCGCTCTATTTTTATTTCTCGTAATTAACGTGCAAACGTGGTTTTATTTTTATTATGAATTTAATTTTGACCGCGCAACGAGGTGTTTTTTAACACACAAAATTTTCTTTCTTTTGTTTCACGTAAAATTATGTGCCGAATTTGGATTGCGTATATCCAAAGCGTATTTTATTCATGAAATAGGGCCGGGATATTTCACTAATACCATCAAGAAAACGCCATGCTAGTATGTCCTCCTCTATAAAAAATACCAATATTTCGAATTAACAACGTCAATGGACTAGAAGGCCAAGTCAGACACAGTTATAATGTTGTATTTATAAAACTAGTAAATTACTTTAGTTTACCAAAAGAAAATGATAATGCCCCCAAAAATGTTATCATAAAATTTTATTATATAAATATTAAACTTATTTGACACACGTCCATCAATATTTTTTTACTCGTTGAAATATTACAACTAAAGGAAACTTAAAAATTTATGGAAAGAAAATATTTCCTATCCCGTAAAACTCAAATTTAAAATACTTTATTTGATATCTACGATATTTTACTACTAATAGGTTGTTTGTCTACTCAGTAGACTCAAAAGCAGACCCAGGTTTGAATCTCGTGACGCACGTAGCCATTGTTCGGTATTTGGATTTTCATAATTTAGTATTAACCAGGGATTTAGCTGGAAGATGCGTCCCGTCATTTTTCACATTATATAAAAAAGACCACCTCTCGCGAGAGATCCTGGGTTCGAATCCCGGGGAAACAGCAAATTGATTCGGTCGGGCAGTCTGATCAACCACTTGCCTGTAAATAAAACCGTCAGTGAAACGGACACAGAAATGTGTTCGCCCTATGCCCCACGAGGGAAAACGGGATTTCACTATAAAGTATCTTAAACCGTTTTCTCAATACATGCCACGGAATCCCTCAAATATGTTAATTGTGGTCCGTGTGTGTCCGCCTTATTTTCACATTTCCCGCTGTTTCTTCGCTCTTATTGATCGCGCCTTGTTTTGTTTATACTTTAGCCTAAAGCCTTCCTCGTATAAGTTTAACTAACATAAAAATATTTTTTCGATTCGAACCAGTAGTTCCTGAGATGAGCGCGTTCAAACCAACTCCTCAGCTTTTTAATATTGGTATAGATCATTTTGTATCAAAAATGTTATCACTTTTTTGCTTACCAAGTTACACACTGGATTGTGTAACTAGGTAGGCCAAAAAGTGTAGTAAGTAAATATATCTGTTTTGTTCAGTAAGAGTACAGTACAGTGTATTAGAGTATTCTCTATTATTATAATTTAAATAGAACTAGATAAAATGGGATTGTGTGTACCCGACATATCATGTACTTTTATTTTGCAGGTGATTTTTGTAACACCCGGTGAGAGTCGAACTCTCAACATTATGTTTTAAAATAAAAGCATTGATAATAATACAAAATCATTTATTTAACAAATTTACTTCGCTCCTAATTACATAAAAAATATTAGAACATTATAAATAATTAAATGCTAGACTGGCGCAAACTGTATCATACTCTTCAGGTCCTTTACGAGTACTTCTAGGAAACCCCTTTGTATCTGAGATTGGTTCTGAAAGAAAAAAAATATTAGCTAATGTATCAATACTCACTCCACGCTACAAACTGACACGACGTTATACTTAAAAAAAAACAAGAAATTGTGTTTTTAAATATAAATTAACATTAATTTCATTTTTATCACATAACTGTACACATTAAATTATTTTAAGGTCATTTTATTTTATTTATTAATTTATTATTATTGGTAAAATATCGCCGTAGCGTTACCTTAGTCGTATCAATTAGTTCGTCGGTGAATCGATCGTTGAAGACGGCCACGAGGGACTTGCGTATCTCCGACGCTTCTTCGGCCGCTAGCGCGCCCACCGCTTGTGTCCGCGATAATGCTACGTAAAGAACATCAGTAAATTAGCATAATAATTAAATTACCTTTAGATTTAAGGTAGTTAATTGTCGGAGAGATGTCTAAAAGTTGTCTGGCCTAATAAATAATTTGACAAATATAAATGCCCGTTTAGAGTTCTTCTGTCATTACAATAATCTAATACATAAATCCATTTTTCAATAAAAATGTTTTTTTTTTTTTTTTATTTTTAAAAAAAAAAAAGGGGGTTGTTCCAAAAAAAAAAAAAAAACCAGGGGAGAAAAACCCCCCCGCCCCCCCCCCCCCCCCCCCCCCCAAAAAAAAAAAAAAAACCCCCCCCCCCCCCCCCCCCCCCAAACCAAATACTTGAACGCAATAAGACCTAGCGCGCACTGATGACTTTTGTCACGGTGACTGTTTTGACGGTCAAGTCCGTGAAGATGTATGGAGGTGTGCGCATGTTACGACGTGACAATTGGGTGACCGGCGAGCAAGAAATTTAAAGTAAACCCACGTCAAGTTGGATTTATCAAGAAATAGTTTGTGAAAATAATTTCCTAGCGTGTTCGAGAAAAAATACATTGTCAAACTGTCAGTCTATTATTTATGTTCAATATCTATTATACGTTTATACACTCGCACTAAGCTATGATCTCTAAGATCAATTATGAAAAATCTAAATACTCTATATTTTACGCCTGTATAGTTCACGCGGGTATAGTTTACGCGAGTAGTACACGTTTTAAACCGTTAAAGTGTTTTATTTAAATACCTTAAAAGTAAATTGTAAAGAATAAAATTTTGCATTTTGGAAGTTTATTAAGTTTAAATCATAATTTGTATTACGAAAACTGTTGTTGGCTCTTATTTACTTCAAATAAAACGGTAAAATTCAGTCTCCCCCTGTGAGGTATGGATCCAACACAAATCTATATGGGTCACTGATGGATTTAAGTACCTATACGTTTTAGTGGAATTAAATAACTTTGCTATAGCACCCTTACTAATATTATAAATGCGAAAGTAACTCTGTCTGTCTGTCTGTTACTCTTTCACGCCAAAACTACTGAAGGGATTTGAATGAAATTTGGTATACAGATGGTCTAGACCCTGAAAAAGAACATAGGCTACTTTTTATTGCGAAAAAGGGGTTGTAAGGGGTTAAAAGAGGGGGTGAATGTTTGTATGGAAATTTGCTGTTTTTGAAGCTAGAACAATGAAACTTTCTTCTTTGGCTTTTTGGGAATAGGAGTGGGGGGGAGTAAAAGTAGGAGTGATGTCAGGTGAGAGTGTTGCGGAAAAGTAGCACTTGCAACATAGATTGGCTGCGATATATTGCGAATTAATAAACAGCCAAATAATTAAAAATTCTACCCCACGCGAACCATCACTCACTATTCCACGGGAACGAAGTCGCGGGCACAGCTAGTTTTTAATATTTCTTAAAAACTCACCAGCATATTTAGTGGGGTGGGCTGCAAAGGCAGCTCTGAGGTATATCCGAGTGTGGGCCCAGAGCAGATATAGAGCGGAGTGGAGTGCGTGGGCGCAATACTGCACTTCGAGGCGACGGGTGTTGGCTCTGGCGCGTAGCTGTGTCACCACCGCTGCGCGCGCTTCGAGTGGTGATGACGTCGTCGTCTCATCACCGAGCATTTTCTTCATATCTAGACATGTATTGAATTAAATCCGATAAGCCAAAGCCAAAATAGATCGGCAGCGACATAATATTAAGATGTTATATGGTTAGGATATTACCTTCTAAAACTAAAGTCGAATAAAAAATAAGTATATCTAACACGTAATCTTTAGTGATATATTTATTAGAACTAAAAATAACCGTGGTAGTAAAGACTATTCTTTAAGACGTCACAGTTTCATTACCGGGAAGGTTGAAATAACAACTGTCAAATGTATGAGGACATCAACAGACTGAACAATAAAATTTGAGGTGTTTATGGTTCTCACTTTCTATGGAAGAAGAGCCCGTGAATAGAAAAATATAATAAATTTGTAGAAACAAGTGAATTTCTAGCCAATTTCACTGGTAGAGCACGTTTTTTTTTAACCTACCTACTAATGTCATAGAAGGAACGCTATGTAGCTGATGATGTACAGTTGCCAGCAGTTTATTGTGTGAATGCAGCCTCCTTAGGAGATGCTGCAGCAGATCCAGCGCAGCCGAGCCGGCGCGACGAGCGCCCTCTTGCGCAGAACTACTGAACGCGTCGCTCTCGATCGTGTTGCGAGCGAATAGCAACAGGTTGCATACAATCTAAGATACAATATAAAAGCATAGGAGTCAAAGATCAATTTTAAATTAAAAAAAAATGATTTTTAATTTATATGGTGCCATCAAGTGCAATAACATGTGAAAATATATCTATCTATTTTATTTTGTTAAACTCTTTTATATACTCACGAACCTTATAATACAATGAACAGTCTTCGCTGGCGTCCATATCAGCGGGTGGCGAGTGGAATCTAGCCAACATGGTTAGCATCAGCGTGTGCAGCCGCTGTAGTGCAGCACCGGAGCGCTGCAGCGCCGTATCCGATTGAACAGCAGCAAACACCTCACGATCAGACGTACGAGCTATCACTGACGTGAGGTGAGACGCTTCTATAAGTAGGCCTTGGGGAGAACTTGGGTGTGTTGCTCTGAAAAAAATAAATCTTAAATGTACAAAAACCAAACTCGTGTGGTCTATATTTAAATCCACTACAAAACAAACACATTCATTTATGCCGTAAATAACATTCTTACAGCATTTTTGTTTTACCTGAGCACCATATCCACGCACTCCAAGTGGCTGAGAAGGAAGTGTGTGATGTGCAGAACGCAGCTGTGGTTCTGTGACCCTAGCGTGGTTAGCAGCGCGTCGCACAGCGCTAGAGCTGGTACCAGCATTTGACGGAAACTGTATGCATTTTATACGATTATAAAACTTATAAATACGAGTTTTAAGGGTTGGAAAAAAGCTCCATTCGATTGTGAAACTGCCAAGAGCTTTTCAATGGAGAAGTTATTTAAGAAAAGAAAGAAATAAAAGAAGGACAAGAAACGAAACAAAAGAAAGAATAGGAAGAAGAAATTAACACTACGAGTTAAAAAGACCACGTAGAAATAATGATTACAAAATAGATGTCGACAAAAAACTCGCCTTTTATTTACTATCTACAGTTCCGCTACTTTTAAAGTCAAATTCTATCTTTCGGTTTTTGCTAATATGTGAAAGATGCAATACAACCTACCGATTAGCAACAGACGGTACAAACTCGGTGTCTTTGCCACCGTACCCTGTGTGTATGTCGGGATGGCAATCCAGGGCCTTGATATTGGCAAGACAGGACAGCGCGCCCTGAGCCAACACAGTTTCCGCCCCAAAACGGCTGCCAGCTATCTTTATGAGCAGCGCCATCTTGGACTCGTACACGTAGAGAACTCGTAGAGATTTAGGATTTGGTTCCAACGCCTAAGCCAAAAATTAACATAAAGAATTAGTTTCTTTTATATTTTGTAAAAAAAAGTTTTAATATTTTTTTCTCGTAGTCGAAAACAAAGTATCGGATAACGTAAGAACGCAACGTAACTTATATATGATATAAATTTACTTTAACAGAATATTTCTTATTAAATTAATGCTAGTTTTATGCAGTTAGCTTATAATTATTAAGTTTTGGTAACTAAAAAACCCATCCAACAAACAATACTAAATAACTAACCTCTTTAAGTCCTTCGTCGTCCTGTAGCAAGCTGTCAATGAGACTCCTCAAGTAGCCTTGATTGGTCAACGTGTTCATCCAATCTGTGCCAGGGTTGATCTCGATAAGGGTGTCCAAGCACGACAAAGCCACCATACGACACACGTCATGTCCACCGCCAACACAATCACTGCACACGATAGAACACAGATTCTCGCCGAAGCTGTTGATCACTTCCACTACCATCGCCTTCAAACTCGACTCCTCTTTGCTCGGTCGAGACTTAGTACTATCCAATCGAGACACATAAGTCGAATTTATTTCTTCTTCCGGATCAGCGGAGCTAGGCTTCAAATTTACGATATTCAGGAAGTTCAGTAGTGCCCCATATAAATTTACTCTCATTTTTTGTGTTGACCCGCCAGATACTAATATCCAGCTAAGAATCTTGTGCAGGATGAATTTTAGGGTCAAGGATTTGGTCTGCATAATCTGGTTCGATGGCCCGAAGAAGGTAGTCTCGAAGTCTGACGCTTTTAAATTGGATTCACGCTTCTGCAAGATGTAGCAATGGCGTAAGTTGACTAAGAGAAGCAGGATGGTACCAGATGCTAGGTTGCCGATCTGAGGAAGCACTTCCGCTGGGGGGATTTTGTTCAAGAGGTCCTGAAGGATATTGAGCAGTAAGGTCTTTCTGGTATCAAGGTTTAGTAAATCATGTGGCGCTACACAGAAGATGATCTCTGTGAGTTGACGCCACGAATCGTAGTAGTGGGTGAGTGTCGCGGCTAAGTTGCGCTGTTTATTTATTTCAGTTACGTAGTCCAGTACCTAAAACAAACAAATAATTTATATAGAGGTATAAAAAATGTGTCAGGTATATAATTCATTCGGCTCGAAGGACCAAAGATATACTTATGGTTCCAAACTTACCTTTTGTATTTCGAGAGCTACTAGATTCCTTTGGGGTGCAGAAGCCCTAAGGGCAGCTAACTCTCGAGATAACAGTGCATGGACACGTGTCACACTTATGCGTTTCCCGCCCAAACCTGTAATTGAATATTATTACAAAAACTAGTGCAGGGACGTTTTACATAGACATTATTCCGTATTTATAAATTATTTATCTAACATTACATTATATAAATTAAACTTTTTAAAAGTATTATATGTAAGCTGTCTGCAAAATCTATTTTTTACCGAACTTGAATTAGAAATTCTTATCTTAGCTAACCTATTATTTATTTATGGTAGTGAATTGAGATTCGTAGGCTCACCAGTGGGTAAATCGCACTCAGTGATGGCGTGTCTAAGTTGGCTTGCGTGGAACAGCTCCCAGTGAGGCTCTGAAACTGCGGTAACGCTGACAGGAAGTGCTTCTAGCGATGTCCGAATCACGCAGGACTCCCAATCCTAAAGAATGCATTAAAGTGGGTAAAATATTTTCTATAACTTAATGTAATAGTTAATAATACAATAGTTAATTTAACGACAATATATAGTTTAATAATGAAAAAAAAATCTGAATATTAAAATAAAAATACTGATGAAAGAAAAATTTTTAGAAGTTATATCCGAAATACATATAAATACTACAAAAATCCTCGGTCATACATGTCTTAGTGGTAGGGGCAACGGTCGCGATTCTTCCTTGTTCGAAGCGTGCGTCAGCGCAGTGAGCAAAGCGGAGAGCGCAGCGTGTTGTCCCGAACTGCCCGCGGCGCCAGCCTCGCATGCGCACGCGCGGAGCACCCACGAACGCGACGAGAGTGTCGCCATTGATGCCGTCTTTAATATATAATTTGATCATTATTATTTTTCCTTTAATTCTCTTTAACAGATTTAATAAAAATCGTTCCATAAAGTTGATTAAGAAAATAAATATATTTCAACTTAAGATCTCCTCTAATTTTTTATTGCAATGTTATAAATTTTGTTAAAAAAAAAAACACAGATACACTATATACTTCGGTTGTCTTAAGTATAAAAAGATAAATTGAATTCGACACTTTCTTAGACTCTTAATTAATTATATTACTTTAATTTAATAAATAAAATAAGAGCTTCAAAACTATAATATTAAATGTAATTTGTGTCTTTGGTAACACAAAAATCATTTAAACAAAATATATACCTCTAGGTTGACAGTAGCTTTCACGTGTCGTGCTAAGAAGTACTCCCTTGCCCGAAGTAGTCTTAAAGCTGGTGGCGAAGTAGCCGGACGAGCTACGATCCAGTACAACAAACGATAACAGCTCTCTATCAACGTTGTTGCTTCCCTAAATAAATAAAAAATATACATGAAACAATGGAGGATACAAGTAGAGTATCTATATATGTGCATAAAATTATTTACTATCTATAAAATTAAATTACTGTATAATCCGGCTCGAAGGATCAGAATTCACTCACCGTTCGTTATTACCGTTCTTAGCTATGTACGCATCTAATATATCCAGAATAGAGTGCAGGCAGGTTCCTTGGCGAACCGGCCACTCCTGCTTCGTGTAGTGCACTGCGGGATACCTAAAAAAATTATATATTTTTTGTAACAATTTAATTGTTAATTAAAATTATATCTATACTAATATTATAAATGCGAAAGTAACTCTGTCTGTCTGTCCGGCTTTAACTCCGAAACTACTGAACTGAATTAAATGAAATTTGGTACACAGTTATTTTAGAGCCTGAGAAAAGTCATAGATACTTTTTAATGCCAAAAAGGGGTTGATAGGGGATGAAAGTTTGTATGGAAAGAATCGGAGACTTTCTCTTTGAACCTTGGACAATGAAACGTTGTAGTTTATGAGTTTTGGGAATCGAAGTGGTAGGAATCAGAGTGGGAGTAAGAGTAGGAGTGATGTGAGAGTGTTGCGGCAAAGTAGCACTTACAACATAGACTGGCTACCTTAAATGCACCATTACATAAATTAATAATAAACAGCCTAAATAATTAAAAATTCTACCCCAAGTCACTATTTCACGAAGACGAAGTCGCGGGCACAGCTAGGTTGCTATAAATCTGTACTGAAACATTGTATATCACTTACATCATCATTCAGCTGGTACCCGAGTAGAAAGTGTGCAAAGTTGTGCGGTGCAGCAGGAAGCAGCTGCAACAGCAGTACAATAATACCTTCTTTTGCTGCACGAATATCTGTGGCTCCTGCCTCACCCCCGCACCATTCTTCAGCTTCAAGGCATTCCACAAAACCGTGCCTGAAAAACAATTAAAGGTCACATTCCATTTATATTTTCCTTCATAAGATACCTTCTTTTCTACATAAGTAATTCAAGTTTAAGTACTACACTAAGAATACTTTAGCACAAACAATTGTGTTATGAAAGAATTGATCCATTCGAGAGCTACGCTTTGTAAAAAAATATATAATAAATATACATACTTAAATAAAACACTTTAACGGTTTAAAACGCGATATATTAGTTAAACTTATTTGAAAATGATTTTTAACTTTTGCCCGACGTTTCGGATGCTTAGCAGCAGCCGTGGTCACGGGGAGGCCGCTGACGGCGTTTAACTAATATATCGCGTTTTAAACCGTTAAAGAGTTTTATTTAAATGTGTACTACTCGTTTACGCGAGTAGTACACATTAGTATTTAAATATACATACGTCAATTTTATAAGACTGTACGATACGATAACGATAAAGAACGATTTCATATTATCTGTTACTATTATTATAGTCGTACCGAACTTCCGGCGCTCGTTGGTGTGTTAGCGCAACGCATTCCAGCAAATGTTTGGCGCAGTGCGGAGATTGAAGGGCTCGGCACAGCAATGCGACTGCACGAGCAGCTGCAGCCGGTACAGTGCATCCGTGCTGTAGAACGCGGCAGCACGTCACCAGTCTGTCGTTCTTTTCGTTGCCAGAAGGAGCTGTTAAACATGCCAGACATAAGTTGTAGCTGATTTTTAACTTACCCAATATATTCCAAAACATGAAGATATTCTTGAAAGCAAAAAAAGAAAGAAGAAGCACAAAAACTTAAACCTAATAATACGATTTACTACTACGGGGAATTTACTATGTTTATTGGTTGAATAAACATCGGAAAAATTAAACACTACTTGTTTTAATTTATAAATACTTGTAAAGACAACATACCCAATAGTAGTTTAGACAATCCAACTAGCATAACGGCCCGGTTTGCTTCAGTTGCGGCCGCAGTGAGTGATCTCTCTAATGACAACGCCCTCTCTAGCATTTGTAGCGTGCTAACTAGCGTTTCCTGTATGTACACCTGCAAATTGTTGTAACAATTAATTTCCATAAACATACTTGCTAAAGTATCTCCATAGTAGGTTCGCTTACCTGTTCCGGCATAGGCTGCCTGTTCATCAATTCGTAAGCCTCATCAAGTGTATTAAGCACCATACGGAGTAGTTCCGAATTAGTGTGCAGGAACATGAGCAGTCTAAAGCCAGGAGGGGGATTTGAATCAGGTTCTGAATGTGGTGGGGGGAAGTCAGCCGCACTGGGCTCGTACGTATCAAGCCAACGGACGAACAAACGGAAACACAGCGATATCATCTGAAATACATTTTATTTATAAAAAAATTAAGTTAGCGTCATTGCACTTTAAGCAGTGATTTATATATGTCCATTACAGTAATTTATAATATAAAAGGTTTTGAATTATAAAAAACTCTTAGAAGATCTTGAATATATCTAACCTGCCATTTCTCCTGTGGGTCTGAATAGGGTCGATGAGGGGCTGGTAGAGCGAGTTTATTCACCACATGGTCTATATACGGATCGAGACCCGGTCTTCGGGCTCCAGCGCCCAGAGCACGGGGCAAAGGCCCAGCAGCGCATAGCGAGTCGAGCAGTGATAAGAATGCTCGGGATAGTGGGTATGACTCCATACGACATTCAACCTAAATTTTAGCAGATTTTATTAAAAAATAAAATAACATATCGTGGCCTTAAAAAAAGTTCACTAATATATTTTAATATTAGCTGTAATATTATCATACACTTTACCTCTAGTAAATCAGCAGTTAGCGCCCTCTTGTCGTTCGTAGGCGAAACTAAATGTGCTGCTTCTAGCGCAGCCCAAACGCGAGGCGCAGTGGATGCCCATCTTCCAAGCGCAGCTAATGTCGTGCACAGAGCCGCTTTTAACTGGATCGGTACATGGCAACATATCAGACCTATACACAAGTAAAGATCATAATGTTAATTTTTCATACCGGATTAAAAAAGAAAAATCTGGAAATTTTGTTTTATATAACAAAAATAAATTTGTACCTAAAATTATTAGTTAATTAAACAAATATATTTCGCGTGTTAGAGCGTTAAGTCTTTTCAAAGTGATTTTATTCAGATGTATACTTCTCGAGTAAACAACATAATTCGTTTTTTGTTACCTACTAATTAATATAGGACAAATGTCCTCCAAGTTATCTTACCAAACATGCAATTAACGGCATTCCACTGCATATTCTCGCATATAGTGATGCATGCAGCCTCATCCACTTTTGCCACGGCTGCTATAAGCTTCAACGCACCGATCATTGCTTCAACCTAGAAAAAAGATTTGACTAATCTTTGCGCGCGATACGATATTTCAATTTATCCCATTCTTTAAATCTTACTGTGTCTTACCTCTTCTTGCCTTACAAGCAACCTGCCCGTTCGAGCAGCGGGCGTTATAATAGCGGACGCACCTAGTGACGACGCGTGAGCATGTTCCGCAAACGGCGTTGGGTCTTGACGTAGATTCCTTTTGAAATAAAATATATATTTTTGATGTTAAATTTTAACTAACCAGCACAACAAATAAAAAAGTAGATTAAACGCAAAATGGTGTTATATTTACCTGTGGTACAACGCAAGCGCCGTGAGCAAATGATGGGCAGACAGGGCATCTCGTCTAGCGAGCAACGCCCATGTGTGCTTTTCAACGGTAATGGCGGCCAGAGCTCTCAAATAAGCCGGAAGCAAAGCTGCTACCATCACCTCACCGGACAAACGCACAAACTTGTATAGTGTAGCTGCACGTCCACCAGCCCTGTAAAAGTCATCATCATCATTTTGATAAAGGGTTACACTTTCTACTATTGCTCTTTGATCAAGATATCTCTATTTATTTTATTAAAGCTTTATTATTTATAAAAGACATATAAAAGAGGAATAATCTTACGTACTGACTTATATAGATCGTTAGTCAAGTGATAGCTATGAATGATTACAAATCACGGGTATGATTTTTTCTATGTCTAGCATGTTAGGCGTGTAAATATTTTATCAATGCCGCTGTCATTCAAAAGACCATTTTCATGTTTTTTTTTATTGATGGAGGAAGACATCACGAGGTTTATTTTATGAAAAGTGTAATTCACCAGTCCCTATTTTGTCTTTGGATATTTAAAGATCCACAGCCTTAAACGCAATTAAACATCTCAGAATCTTCATTTGTGAAGTCTGTGACAGTGGTTTATAACCCGGACGATATATTGATATTCCTACAACCCATTTCATATCCACATGTCCAGGCGAAGTTTCACAAGAATTATAAATTGGTTAGAGGAACATTAGACCATCGAGCCTAAGCCAAAGTTACTAATTAATTACCTGTGAGAGTTAGCAGTCGCATCGCAAGCCAGCCAATAGTCGTGTCGCAAGTTGTGCGGATCTCTGGCATAGAGGCGTTCTACGCAACGCAATAGCGCGTCCAGGCGCGTGCGGTGTGACGCTGCAGGGGGCGGGGCTAAACCTTCCGCTGCGTACATTTGCGCTGCGCGGGCAGCTTCATCTGCCCTGAACAAACGTTTAAAAATCAAAAAAATCTAAGTCACAATTTTTAATTAAACTTTTATAGAGGTGGACAGACAAGCATGAGGATCACTTGATGATAGGGAAATAGCCCAGCCACATAACATCAAAACAAAGTGTGCTGTCGACCTATTGTGGCTTTGAAGATTCGGAAATCCAGACCAAACCCCTCGAATGATTGAAATCTCTTTCGATTTAGTAACACGGAATATAAATGTCTGGTTATATAAATATAAAATTTCCCTTACTTGACCCTCATCTCCATGAGTTTAGAATGCATCAGCACGATAAAGTCTGTAATGAGGGAGTGTATCCGCCTCTGGTAATACTCCTCTGAAGCTACGAGATCCGTTGACAGGATCATTTCGTCTAGATATTCAAATACCTAAAAAAAAAGTTAACAAACGTTAAACTTCATAATTTCATCTTCAATGATTGTCTTAAGTTGAAGCATAAGACATTACATAGCGCGAGAGGTACATGTATCAAATTCTACGGTTACGCAGACAAATCAATTCTAGAGCAAGAGCAGATAACGTCTAGTTAAATCCTGCCCGTGTCTGCTAAAAAATGCTAAATGTATAAAAAATTGTAAATTCAGAAGCCACAGACTTCGAGCGCGTAGAAGAGAGCGACGTCGGACGCGTCCGTTCATTCTTGCAAGTTCATTTTAAAAAATAGACATATAGCGCCGCGGACGCTTTTTAAGATGAATAATACTTTTGTGCATATTTTTTTTATATATTGAACCGTTTTTGCAGCGTACGCATCGGAAACCCACAGAGATTCATCATTTTTCCCGTTTTCCCACATTTTCCGCTGTTTGTTCGCTCCTATTAGTCAGCGCATCTTTATAGTATTTCGATAAATGCTCTAACCAACAGAGAAATGTTTTTTTATTTACGATTACGAACCAGTAGTTCCTGAGATAAGGGTGTTCAAACATACAAACAAACAAACGCTTTAGCTTTATATATTAGTATATAATAATAATAATGATAAATGGTGATAAATGATTAACTAATAATAAATGATTAAAGAATAATGATACGATGAACTCACTTCACCATCTATAGCAGCATCCACAAGCACCTCATCCTGATCGAGAGCTTCGCATCTTGATTCATTTCCTTTACGCAAAAGAGACACTGGCGCCCTCTTCAGCGCACTCAACGCCAGGCCTAAGGCGAGCTGGCACAGCGCTCGCAGTCCAGAGCCCTTCTGGCCTTCTTGATGAGAAACCGGAGTTAGCTCGTCTAGTAATACTGATATGAGGTCTGGGTCTTGGATGAGGGGGAGTTTCTTTGATAATTCTTCGCCATCTTCACGTCTGTAATTTTGATTAGCAATTGATTTAAGGAATTGTTATGAGCACTACAGAAGTTTTCCTTCTATTGTTTAACTTATTTTTATTTATATTGACTACAACTCTACCGTTTCTGGGACTTTGGAGCAGCAGTGATTACAGGGTATACAGTTTATTTCCTTGTTATTAAATTATTAAGCATACATTGAGTAAACTACTTGTGTTAACTAGAGACAATAACGTTTCAATAACTAAAAATGTGCATTCCTTAAGGATTACTGAACAGACATAAATGAAATACCTGTGCAAAACTGAAAGATCCAAGGCATAGAGCAATGACATTTGCAAAGCCAACGATATTTCGTCCAACGCGCCGGTAGCACTCCGCGAAGGTGATGACATTTCCTTAAAAAAAACAAATTACTAGGTTAATAGCAGTTGATAAATACAGTTTCCCTCTGTGGGGCAACACTTTTTTTGTATTGATTTAAATGATGGGCAAGTATTTGATCAAACTTTTTTTCTCATTCTATTCCCGGTTTCAAATACACAGGCACACAATAAATTTTTATTTAAACCTATATAGGTCGTCTAGCATCGCCTTATATGTGAAATCGTGTATAAAGCGATGCTAAACCGTTGATCTATTAAGACAGTTACGAGACAAATAGTGATAACTAGTTTAAAATAAATTACTGTTTGCCTGTGATAATAATTAAAAACCCACTTGGAGTACAATATAAGCTACTATTTATTTACTATTTCGTTAAAATTTTAAAAAATCACCCACTTCTGATAGCAGCCTTAATAAGACATCTCTTTCCAATCCTCGTTGAGCTGACGCTGCAAAAATTACTCCAGCTAATAGTTTTCTGTAAAAAACAAATATTATCGCAAATATTGTATAATATTGGATTTAAACGATTATTTTTAGTGTTACTGCCTATCTAGGTGATTGATATTGATATCCAAATGATTAAACATGTTGCCTAGAATTGCGTTTAGCGCGAGGAGTCCTGGGTTCGAATCCAGGAAAAAACAATAGACTGTTTCGGTCGGGCGGGGCAGAAAAGTCTCATAGACAATTTGCCTGTAATAAAACCAATCAATGAAACGGATACAATGTGTTCACCCTATGTTCCGGGGAGGGATACGAGATTTCTCCGTTTTAGTGGATGATGTGATGTGTGTGTATAGGCTGACCAATCCCAAGAATTGTATTACTAGCAAAAGAGCAGTGTCACCGCCTCATATGTATTAGTGAGCATAGGGGTCTAGAATTTAGAAACAATAATTTGAACAATATCAAACCTTGTAGACTGCATACAAGCTAACAGTTTGATGTGATATCGGTTTGGGGGAAGAGCCCGATTCCGTCTCAATAAATCCAGTTCACTATCTATTGAATTTATTCGGAGAGCATCCAAAACATTGCCAAGAAGCCCATCAGATATCAGTTGCTCTACATATCGGGAGACATATTGTATAATCTCCTCTCTTGCACTTATAGACCTGGAAATTAACAGATATTTTTATGAACATCAAACAAATGTAAGAATGTAAGAATTTTATTAACACACCTCTATAGTTTTGAAAAATTATGCCAGTTTTATTGTCTTTCACAGCTTGCTATAGAATTATAAAAAAAATAAAGCATATTTAAATTGAAATTCTAAATAGGTTTTTGAACTTATTCATCTTATCATTAGCAAAGACACTCACCAACACACTCCATCTCTAGCCATAACCAACTCTCGAAGTGCCTGAACTAGTGCCCTGCGTCCATCATAATATAACATGACTGCTAGGAGACCTCTGGCCAAGCCAGGCTGCCTGGGGCTCTGGCATTGTGCAGTATGCAATAACTCTAGACACGCATATTCATTTGCATTGTACATATCTGCAAAAGTTTGGTCTTGATAAACTTATGACAAGCAATTACATATATACTATTTTGCATTAGCTAAATTTAGTAAATTGATTTTAGTATGTACTTTAACTACTTTAAGGTGTAATCAACAACTAATTTAAAATATGTTATGTATAAACCAGACAGTAAAGATAATAATAATTGTAGCATTTTACATATAAAGTTTTCTCTACACATGCTTCCATAAAGGACAGAAATCTATGTCAACTTATAATAGACAGTTGTTTGACTAAATATTGTATAAAACACTTTAAATATATATTTTTTTAATTCTTAACATTATTTATAATAGCCAATTTGTAAATTCTCCATACATAGTGTGGTAGTGCTTTAACCATTATTATAAATTTGATTAAGACATTTAAATCCCTATACCTGATATTATAATTGCTTCATCAACCAGCTCTTTAGACAATAGCGTTCTGCCAACACTTGGTAAGTTAACTCCATCTATTACACCTCTTTTAATTTCCTCTCGGCTTGCTGGATTTTTTGCCTAAAATTACAGGAGAATCTTTATTGTAGTAAACACTACTTACATAATTATATAAAAGAAAATTTATGGAATAGGATATAGAACCAGTGAAATGATTTTATTAATTCTTAATACTTACTGGATTTTTCAATAGTGACAAAAATGTCTGCTTGTGTCTTCGCAGAACTGATTCAAATGTGTGCACCGCATAGGGAGAACCCCCAGTTTCATTTGTAAGGTAGCATTCCACAACTGACACTAATTCTTTAAATGGTGTCCACAAATCTTCAGTTGTTGTTCCTATACATCAACACAAGTTATGTTATCTTCAAACATATCGCTTAGAAAGTATATACTCACTGGGTATAAGTAGATAAGGACAAAGTTATGTTCACTTATTCAAAACATTTAACTTCGTTTACCGGTTCTACTAGGTTATGTTCAAAATTACCTTCGTTCATATCCATGTCTGCGAGGTTAAAAAGTTTTTATTTGAGTATGAATCGGGAGTTACACATCTACCACATTATTTTTAAAAAGTAATGACACAAACAATATAATATATTAACTGTAAGATTGTATATTATTCTCGTTGAAAATCCGCCAAACTGAAACTTTTGTCAGTTTCAGTTCAGCTCAAATTAACCACAGATGTAAACTACAATGCGACCGATATAAATTGGCAGTCCTGACCTAAGCGCGAAACGCTGTGCAGAAAGGTTCTTAGTTAGTATGTTAACGGTGGTAAGAGAGAGGGGCGCGGGACGAAGATCTAGGCTAGTGATTGACTCAACGTCAACACAATCAACCGATCGATTTAGATTGTGGATTTTAAATCGTATAAGATATTGTACTAAATGGATTGATGGATACAGTGAATGTGTGTTATAAACAATACTATGATTACCTTTAAAGGAAAATAAAATCATTAAAAACTTTTTTCATTATTGATCTACCTGATTTAGTTAAATATGAGTTATTATTTAAATAATTACTATTTATACTTTCTTTAAGGCTTTTTATAAAATTATATTTTTACGATCCAATTTTATCTATTTAAATAGGAATCGATTAAACGACACTCGCAAGGATCGCGTATGGACATCTATTTATGGTTCTTTCGTAAATCTTCGTACATATTCGGTAAGCAGTAGCGCGTCGCGGTCACTCCTTGGTGTTAATTTCGTTATCTCTGTCTTGAGCGCAGTCCGTTAGAAAAGTGATTATTTATTGTTAAATTTAATATTATTATTGCTCTTTGTTTTGTCTCTATATTTTAGTGAAAGATGTGAAGTGTTCGTAGCCCTTATTCTCTTTGAATCATTTATTGGTATGTTACTTTTGCTTGCTATAGGTAAAATTTTTCATTTACCCCAGTATGAAATTACTGACATGTATTACTTTTCTTTACGAGTTTTTTACATGCGTCAAAGTTAGTCTAACCTCTGCTCTAAGCTGCCAAATTACGTCGACCGTATTATACCAAAGAATGTAAGCGGCTATAAATAAAAAGGCACTGACTCTGGTATGATGTTCTATAGCACTGTCTATACTTCAATTTCACAGACTGCAAACAAAAAATATTTGATTATATCCATAAAGAATGGCTTTGTTATTGACCGAACACCGAATGTCAACTGAATTGTCCATAGTAGTTAATGTAAATATTATTATTGATTATTTTTTCATATTCCTTGCAATAATTCATATTGTGCTAAACGATTTTATTTCTTTTAAATTCGTGTTTAACCTAAGTTAATTTTACAGTACAGACCGATTGACTATTTACACACTAACAGCACTAGTTTCATTTATATATTATTAACCTATTCTTGTCTTGTAGTACTGCGAATGCAACCAAACTTGCAATGAAATGAAATGTTTCGCAAAAGAGAGAATGTGTACTCTCGTCACAAATTCGGAAACAGCGATGAATTCGAAGAGGAGCTTTACGACATGTTCAATAAGAAATATGAGTTCGTTTTCAATAGCGATTGGAGACTACCGGATCGAGGGTCTTTCTTCTCCGCGCCGCCGTGGAAAATTGAAAGCCTCGATAAAATGAAAGCAAGATTAAACTTTCACAAGAGTCAACTCAATGACTTCAGTATCGAAGAGTGGAGTAGTCACACGCGGCGTCGGAATCCCGCTGGCGAAGTCAGTTGGAAGGTCAGGTGCCTGGTGAATCCAGAGTTCTTAACGCAGGCATGGACAAAGTTCTATGAATGCGCGTGCACCTATAACATTATACCACTCGAAGCTAAGGAAGACAAACAAATGGTCTCTCTACATTTGTGTGAGGCGCCAGGTGCTTTTATCACCTCATTAAATCATTACCTCAAACTAAACCACAATAATATACGAGTAAGGTATTGAAATTTGGTAATAAATTACTTTTTCAGTTCTTAAGAGTAATATCTTAAATATTCTAGTGGAAATGGTTGGCCAGCACATTAAATCCGTATTACGAAGGTAACTCAACATCAAACATGATAAGTGATGACAGGTTCATGTTCCACACTCTGCAAAACTGGGATTTTGGAGTGGATAATACAGGAAATGTTATGGATTGGGAAAACTCACAAGCTATTATCAAAAGGGCTAAAAGTTTGGGAAAGGTATGTTAAAATTTATTATAATTATTTTGAAATATATATATTTTTTTGTACACAGGAAAAAAACAGATGGTGTTGTATTGATTGATAAGTACAAAAAAATCCCCTTTAAATAAACCAGAATCCCATGTCATATAATACTTGTACAATTATAATTGTCTGTCTTACGCAATTAATGTATGTATATTAAAACTCTTTAGGTCTTACTAGTAACTGCAGATGGTTCCATAGACTGCATACAGAAACCAGATGCCCAGGAAGAGATCACTTCACCCTTGCATTACTGTGAAATTGTTACTGCTCTACAAAGCCTTAGCAAAGGTATTGTAAAATATAAAAATAAGTGTATTACAATATGGAAATATGTATATATTTTCAATTTTCATATTACTTATATGATTATTTACAAAATTTAATTGTTTTGTAATTTTTTAGGTGGAACATTTGTTTTCAAACTGTTTACCATATTTGAACATTCCACTGTATGCTTATTGTATCTTCTTAATCATCTCTTCAAAGAAGTAAATATTTACAAACCTATCACATCACGGCAAGGTAACTCTGAAGTGTATGCCATATGTCTCAGGTATAAAGATAATTTTCTGCTAGAAGAGTTCTTGCCAAGGCTGAAAATAACTTATGGAACAAACCTATACAGTGAGTTATCACTTTTCCCTCTGGATGTGATTCCTGATAGTTTTATTAAACAAGTAGAAGAATGTGCATATTACTTCTATTCTCTGCAATGCCATGTTATCAATAATAATCTTCAAGCCTATTTAATGCAAAACAACATTGCACTGCATCGCGATATAAAAAAGATAAGGACTCTAGTCGCTGCAGAGTTTGTTTGGAGGTATGAATTAAAACCTATCAATCCAGAACAAGAAATTCTCAAGGGTGTGCTTCACGAAGAAAATAAAATTAATAATAACCCAAGGCACTACAGGGGCTCCTATACAGAGAGACAACTCTACACAAAAATGTCAGTCAAGGAAAAGTTACGAAATCTGCATGATTCAATGCAAACTGATCTTATATCAAATCCTGCCATTTTAATAAATAAGCCAGTGCAATGGATGGTGGAAAGTGACACAGAATTCAAAATTAAATTCACATATGGGCAACCATTACAGAGGCTTAACAGCTCGAAATTTATACTGATTCCTATTTTCAAGCTTTATCAACAAATTTTACTGGATGAAGAATTTAAGGAAATTCTTATTTCATATGAAAATGTACATGAAAGAAATGTCCCAGAATTTGATATTAAAGAGTCAACTAAGTTACAACTACCATGTGTTAAGTATGATGATACATATCATGTTCATGAAAAATATTGTTTCAAGTTATTAAATGACACATTAAAAGAAATGTCAGATGGTGATACACTGCTTCTACAGAATTTTAATTTATTAACACACTTCAATGTAAGCATTTTATACATTCTAACCAAAGCATGCTTCAAACGAGCCGGGTTTACTTCCTGTGGCATTCTTATCTTAGAGAAGCTGAATAAGAAAATGTTGAATCTCTTAGACGCAGTTGATATTGAATGCCAAAGAGTAACAAAAGAGAGCAGTAAAGATATCTTGACTGCTCTTCCCATAAAATTGACAAATGCAGGTGATTTTTTTAACAATGTTGTGTTTTATAACAACACATTCTACAGACGTAGATGCTCAGAATACTTGAAAGCTATAGATCAATCCATTTAAACGAACGCGTTTATCAAACATAAAAAGGATCTTGTGTTTATGATCATCAAAATGTTACGAGTTTTTTGTGTTGTGTTTCTTAAATTGAAATATTTTGACGGTGTCAAATTTATTCACAAATGATTATTGCATAATCCTACATATATTTATTTTAATGTGTAAATGTTAACCTTTTGTAATGTCGCTGGAGAATATTTTTTGGAGTTTTATTCAAGTGAAGAAAATATGCCTGTTTCAGTGTCATTGAATAAATATTTTTGAAAATGTATATTGTTTTGTTCTCATCTCAGGCCGACAACAATTGATTATGGTACTTCCGATCGTGCAATCTTTTCATAAATGCAAAATAGAAACGGTAATTTAAAGCGCTGCCATATATCATATTTTAAAAAGAGATCGAGTACAGTAAAAGCTCCGATGGCGGATGGCCTATATTGTATTTTTTCTAACTTGGCAAGAGGCTACAACAAATATGGTCGATTTAATACCATACAGAACATACACCTTCTATAAAGTGATGTTGACGACACTGTTATAGAAATATTTATTATATGTGGATCAAATTTTTATGACGATATTTTTATGTCATTATTATTTAATTCAACGTTTGTAATGCCTCTCCGCGATAGTGCTTGAGTAGAATTTCTACCTCTATTCTCGTTGACTTTGCTACTTATGTTTTTTTTTTAAACTAAATAAATTTTAAAAACAATTCAGTGAATTAATTTTTAAAATTTTAATTAAATTTGGCATGAAATTGTCGTGAATTTGAGACAATTAATTAGTTTAATATATAGCACAGTGTCTCAAAGTTTTTTAGTGTAAATCAATGTAAACTTTGGGAGAAAATTATGATTTTACGAAAATTGTGTGTTTGTTTGCTAAAAAAGCCAATTTAGAAAAAATACCTGACCTGACTGAACTCTACCGATAAAAATGCTTTTATCTAAGTAATGAAAAAAAATGTCAAGATCTGTGACATTTGACGTTTAATTTATTTCATTGCTGTTATATTACTCCGAATTGCTTGCGTAAATATATATATTCCAAACATTTTAATTTTATAATGGAATGACGATAAAATTATCTTTTTGCTTTCATTTATATACTAGTGAGTTTGAAGAGGAATGTTGTAGTTGTTTTATGAATATCGTGTTATGAGGGTGATAATATGTTCATGTATAATTACACATTCATTTCCAGATGTAACTGCATGACTACAATCATAACTTTACGGTGTCCAGTACACTCGTGACCTGACCACTGTGATTGGAACAACTGCAACACTTGACACGACAACCTTCCCAAACGTTCGACATGAGCCAAACTACTTTTGATGATCGTAAAGAAGACAGAACCCTCCATTCACGACTTTTTGTTGTGTGCAGTAAACAGACAAAAGAACATGACTTGAGGAAACTCTTTGAAGAGCATGGTACGGTTGATGACGTGTTTTTACCAAGAGATCGTAACACTGGCGATCTTAAAGGATTTGCTTACATCAAATATGCAAAAACTTCACATGCTGCTGCTGCTATAAAAGCGCTACATCTCAAATATATTGACGGCAAACCTATTAAAGTTATGGTTGCAACAAATAAAAATGACCCACAGGGCTCAGATCAGTATGGTGAAAAATATACACGACTCTTTATTAAAGTTCCAAAAGAAAGTTCAGATTTGGAACTAAAAGAGTACTTCAATAAATTTGGTTATGTCCAATCAGTTTTCATACTAAAGGATAAAGATAGTGGTGCTCCTAAAGGATTTGCCTATGTGAAATATGGAGAATTTTATGATGCAGCAAAGGCGTATGAAGAGTGTGACAAAAGTTTTAGACCAATTTTTGCTACTCCTAAACAGCTCAAAAGAAGTGCACAAGAAGACGATACTTACCAGCAACATAATAAGAAAAGGCTAAAAAATAATGTAAATGAAACATATATACATGATAATTTTATAGAAACAAATGGTGACGACTATAGAAGCATCATTATTACATGTTTTCCAATAGTTCATGAAAAATACATTTCTAATTTGTGCAATATAATACCAGGTTTACAAAACTGTCAATATACATTAGATACATATAATAGTTTATGCAAAGCTGAGGTAACCTACAGTGAACCTAAGTATGCAGCATATGCTGTATCAAAACTGAATGACTATGAATTTCCTTCTGGTGAAATTATAACTGCCAAGCCTGACAAGAATCCCTTAGCACAGGCTGCTACAAATCTCAAAGACATAGTAAAAAATTTCAAAAATTCTGTAGAATCTGGTGCAGACTTGATCAGTTTAGCAGATGCTATTGAAAAGGCATCTTCATTGATCAAAGCTGCAGCAAAAGGACAATCAGACGCTGAAGAGCGTCTAAGTTACTGTAATATTCCACTTCCATCAATAAAACCTAAATCAAATACATCAAAAGTAGCTCAAAGATTATTTATCATTTGTAAACCTCAACCACCTCCGCTGGCTGTGTTGCAAGATGCTTTTACTCGCTTTGGCGATTTTATTAGTGTCTCTACCATTCCAAACAAGACATTTGGCTTTGTAAAATATGCGTCCACTGAATCAGCTCAACAGGCCATGAAAATACTGAATGGGGCAACACTATGTGGAATGAGATTGAAGGTAGTGGAGGCTGATGAAAAACCACCGTGCTCTGACGAAAAAAATCATATAGAAGGATCTAACTTTGAGGACAAATCTAAAAACAAGACACCATGAATGATAAAACATTTTTGTGACAAGACTTGAAAAGACTTTAATGTTTCGACCTTTAAACTATGACTAGCTGTGCTTATAACTCTAGGGTGGTCAAGTAAAACATATTTTTTTATTATATTTTGGAATTGACCTTTTCAAGTTTGACTTGGTTTAGTATTAAAATTAGAATACATGACTTTGAATCTTTTATTTTTCAGTACATGACTGTGATACAACCACTATGAAATTTGAAGACTTACTACCCGTGCGCGATAAGTTGGGACCTGAGCGCGGTGACGTCATCTTGCCTGCAATAACTACAAACGGTACAATACAGGTGCCATCGAAGTGCAGGGGAAGTGGGCGGTGACTCGCATTCCTAGCAGGTCCCTACTTGTCGCGCACGAGTTATACACACTCCATATTGCAGACAAGTGATCACTACTAAGATAGATCAAAGCACTTTTATACCTTCATGTCAGAATAAAGAGCAGGCTGGTTGACTAAAGTGGTGAACACAATAAATAATGTTATTGATTTATACACTTGCTACCACTGCCTCACTATGCATAATTATATTGGCAGTAATCTGAGTAGTAACTTATCTATAGTGTCAAATTGCACTTCATGGCCTTATGTTATATGCATTATTAGCTTTTTATAGCTTGTATTATGGCAAGTAGCCATTGGGAATCTGTATTTAAGGGGTAGCTAACTATATATTATGTTACAGTAAGATTTATTAGACATTTGTAAGTCTTACAAAATCGGAAGATCCTGAAATAATACATACCAAAGGGCAACATTATAGAACAAATAAATACATTCAAGACGAGAATTACAAGAAATTTAAAAAATAATCACAAATAAAAACATTTTTTTAAATATGACCTTAAATCTCTTAATTTGTTAAAATTCTGTTCTATATGTGCGTTATAAATACATTAAACATCATTGGATATACAGGGCTATTAGTTAAGTAGATCTAGATCCTTTAGAGGGTTATAGTTTCCATCATTTCTGACCAATTTGTGTATGGAAGACCCTATCCCGAACTTAAGCATTTTTTAGTTATGGCAAATTTAAACTTTTGAGAAGATTAATTAAAGTATCTGCAGTATAACTGGGAAGAAAATAATATCTTCAACTAATTTGTTTTTTGGTCTTGTTTTCAATTGCCTTCTGCAGCCAAATTGATTCCGATACCTATTTTAGTGAATAGAATAATGAAACAACTCATCTTGAATTTAAATATCACAAAGAAAAAATAAAATTTCAACACAAAATTCGGAAAAAGCATGAATATGAAACATCAAGTCAAGCAGCCATAAATTAAAAATACTTAAGTTAGGGATAGTGTGTTCCATACACAAATTGGTCAGAAATGGTGAAAACTATAACGCCTTAAAGGATTGTTTGACATAAGGAGTAACCCTGTAGATACGATAGCTGGCTATTAGCAATACTACTCTTAAAAGGTCCAGAAAGCCTTATTAATAATTTACAATCACAACACTCTTGATAAGATATTCTAAAGGAGAAAAATATTTACAGCAAAAGCATTCTTAATTCAAAAAATTACATACAATATTTTATGTAGTTTATGCAAATAGTACATATTTAAATTTACATTAAGTAATTTATTTAAATGACATAGAATACATTAAGCTTCAGCAGCTTTCATTTTGATGATCTTCAAAACATAACAACATCAACTTCTATTTAAACATTGTCAGATATATTACAGTGATCAATCAAACTTGCATTTACAGACATTCAATTATACAAGTTACATCACATAATTAATAAAATTGAAGCATATATTCAATTATTATTTAAAATAAATAGATTTTTTTTTATTTCTAGATGGGATTAATTGTTGCTTTTGAGCAGATACGTAACTTCTGTGATGTCGGCAAGGAGCTTATTGAGGATGTTGTCATAGGTCAGTACTCCAACAGTACTTGTTGGCGTGCGGCAATACTTTCCCTCAGTCACTTGCACTAACTGAAAATTCATTAATAGGTTCTAAAGGATGCATGTAATTGGAAGTAGGTTAAAAAAGATTGACTTCATTGAAAAAAAAATTATGTATAAAAGGATCAAATGTTTAACATTAAGTAAAAGATATAATATGTGTTACAATGTTTTAGCAATATTAATAATTTTTAGTATAAATATATTCATAATTTATTGTAAAGAAAAATAAAAAAGTTGTTACTTTTAGTGTTAACTACATAATATTACCTTTGTAAATGAAGTGACATCCTCACACAATTGACCTAGTTTATCCTCTAATTCTGCATTTTTTTTATTTACGTCGGACGTTATTTTAATATTAGCCAAACTTTTGCTCAGTTGGTCAAAATTTGTTGCATATGATGTCAAATCCAAGCTTTCAATATTAATCTTTTCTAATTTAGTGCTCTGCTCCTTCGTGTTAATGTTTTGTCTTAACTCCTCGGCATAGTTCTTCATAGTTTCTACGATTTTATCAATGTCACCAAAATTATTTGCTGCTACCATGTCCGGAAGCAGCAAGTTGGGCGTTTCGGTCTCAAGGAATTGCGCAAACTCTTCTTGGTGATTCCTTTCGTTTTGCTGTGGTGCTACAGCTGGAACACTGTGAAAAAGTGTTTTGATCTCTTTCATTATGTTCTGGGAGTCGGCTAATTCTCTATCCAAGTCTGCGGTCATCTTTTCTAGGGCATCAAGTTTTACCATTGATTGGATATACTGCGCAAATGATTCAGTATATGCTTTGCTGTTGTAATTCATATTTACCGCTGAGATATAAGAATGATATGAACTACGTAAATCAACTTTATTTTAAAAATACCAGTATAAAACTCAATTTATAGAAATCGATTATTATAATTTTAATTTTGTATGTCCACAGATGCAACAATTGTCACTTGTCAACCGTCACATCGCTGTCGATTGCAGCCGATATCTATTTTATAACATTTAACCACTACTTTATTTCATTATTGAATAACGTTTTTGTTGTTTTTAAAGTAAATGATTATGATATAATACACAACACTATTTCCAGCGCTGACGACTACATTATATATTTTTCTAAATCTGAGGTTCTAGCATATTTTAGCATGATAGACTGTTCAAAGAATTCGGTGTTTCATAATCTCGCTTAGCAGCCTGCATATCTCGTGCTGTAGTCTGTTTATTGCTCTATGTTACAGCTAAAATATACTATAGTCTTTGCAATTAAAGTCAAAGTCAAGAATGAAATGACTGCTGGCGATAATTTTATACACCAACTTTAGAAGCAAAATAAAAACATAAAATAACCTAAAACGACTCGCGTGAAAAATTTATTAAGTTTAAAAAAATATCAATTTGATTAAAATAGGGTCACATAAATTTTAATTAGTGAAAATGGTGCGTAAACTCAAATTCCATGAGCAGAAACTTCTTAAAAAGGTAGACTTCATATCATGGAAAATAGACAATAACATTAATGAAGTTAAAGTTATGAAAAAATACCACATCCAAAAGCGAGAAGATTATACTAAGTAAGTTTATATTGAGGTTGTTAGGCTATACAATCAAGCCTTTAAGTAGAATATCCTTGAAATAGTTTTAATATTAAATGCTGACCAAATTACTGCTTATAGATACAACAAATTATCCAGAGAAATAAGGGAGTTAGCAAATAAAATCAAAGACTTGGACGCCAATACAGAATTTCGCACAGAAGCAAGTGCGCAATTATTAGAGAAATTGTACCAAATGGGACTAATACCAACCCGATGGGATTTAGCACTTGCAATTAATGTTTCTGCCAGTTCTTTTTGTAGACGACGACTACCAGTTGTTATGGTTAGAAGTAAGTGCTAATGAGTAGGCAGTATTTTTAATAACTTGCGAATCTCAGAATCTAGTCAAATATGTGAAACTTTTAATACTTTTTTTTCTTCAATCGGGACCAAACTGGCTAGTGAAATTCCTAAATACGGCAATATGAACACTGACTTTATACAAACCACTTTAATTCAGATTTTACTACTACAACATTTGATAAATTTTCTCCGTGTACAGTGGAAGAAGTATCTAAAATTATAAACAACCTAAGTGATAATACTAGTTCAGGCATTGATGGGATTAGTGTAAAGGCTTTGAAATGTATTAAAGATGGCATAATAGATAATTTGACTAATTGTTTAAATGAATTGCTAAACATTGGACATTTTCCAAAATCTCTAAAATTAGCTAAAGTGACACCAGTTTATAAATCCGGAATAAAGTCTGACCCCGGTAATTATCGACCAGTATCTGTGCTACCCACACTTTCAAAGATATTGGAAAAACTAATCCATAGCAGATTAAACAGCTACTTACAAACAATTAATTTTATATACCAGCATCAATATGGGTTTCGTGCAAAATCGGGCACGTTAAATGCTGCCATGAACTTAATTACTAAGATTAGGAATAATATTGATCAAAAGAATATAGTACTTGGTGTTTATATCGATTTAAAAAAAGCTTTTGACACAATAAGTCACAACATACTTTTGGAAAAGCTAATGAAAATAGGCATAAAGCATACAGCTCTTAAAATGTTAAAATCTTACTTGAGTGATAGATATCAAGTGGTTAAGATTGGTGATACCCAAAGTTCATCAAAACAACTAGTTTGCGGCGTGCCACAAGGCTCAATTTTGGGGCCATTGTTGTTCCTAATCTACATAAATAATATACATCAAGTTGGATTAAAAGGACAACTAACATTGTACGCTGATGACACTTGTTTGTTTTATTTTGGCCATGACCTCAGCGACATTATTAATAGAGCACAGATTGATCTTAATAAACTTAATCTCTGGTTTCAGCATAACCTATTAACCATAAATACGTCTAAAACTTCTTATGTGATATTTAGTTCAAAAAATAAAAACTTACCCAATCATAAAAACTTAAGTAAGATGGAGAACATAAGACAAACAACACTGAAAGATATCTTGGCCTTATAATTGATAAGAAATTGAACTGGAATGAGCATATAAGCTACATCAAAAACAAACTCTCATCTTTAGTCGGAAGGCTTTATACAATTGCAAATTGTATCCCACATAAAGTGAGAAAACTAATTTACAATAGCTTAGTCAAACCCCACTTACTTTACCTCATTGAAGTATGGGGCAGCGCTTCTAAGACAAATATAAAACCGCTACAAATATTACAAAATAAAATTATAAAAATATTATATAAATATGACTTCCGAACATCGACAAAAAGATTTTTTTCTGAAACTAAACTATTTACTATTCAGCAGCTTTATAAATATAGTACTTGCGTACTCATATATAAAATAGTCAACAATTTAACTCATTCCAATATACATTTTGAAAAAAACTATTCAACTAAATTTTATAAGACCAGACGTGCTAGCTTATTATCTCTTCACAACATACGCACGAATTATGGCAAGAGCTCGATAACATTCTCTGGGGCACAATTATTTAATAGTTTGCCAAAAATTGTAAGAGATTCAACTTCACTTAGTATTTTCAAAAGTAGGCTTAAATCTTTCTTAACTCTTAACAACACAATAATCAAATAACAAGTAGTAGCTTTTCAGTAAAATACTAATTTTAAAATATCATTTTTACTTAAACTTATGATTTTTAAATTTCAGATATTATTTTTAAAATTTTAATCGCGTTTGTCACTTGGACCACCGGCTAAGTGAGGTTGAAACTCGTTTCTTATCGGCACGATGTTATTGCGTCGGCTATTTACAGTTTTGTTAAGATTTTATTATAAACTACCCGCGTGATGAATAGTAAAAATGTATATATTGTATTAATGTTTCTCATATAAGTGATTGTAATAATAATCTTAGTGGGAAATAAATGTCTTTAAACCGAATGAGTAGGCAGTAGAGTAGTATTGTAGTCAAAGGTATCTTAAGTATTCTTTTCAATGTAGTATTGCGACTTACTGATAGTTTTTTTTGATAAACCATTAAAAAATGCATAATATATACAATCTCCTTCAATGTCTATTGAAAAAAACTGAATATTATTTATTATGCTATTTTATTAATTTAATGATAATTGCAGACGTCTTCTCCATATGGTAGGCATTCATTCCCTACTTGTGGGCCAAAGATATTAATATCCTATCATCATTATAGTGCAATTAGATTATTATTTTTTCTTTTGGAGACACAGATAGAAGACCAGGTGATTAGTCCAGATCATTTTCTGACCATTCATTGCCATTAGTTAATTTTTAATTTGAATTAAAATTTATTCTGGATTGATAAAAAAATAATGACACTTGAACCAGCATCCCCAGTGATCTGTAATTGTAATTTTATAGTTTCATGGATAAAATTTAGTAATGATCAAAGTGGGAATGTTAGAAATCTAGTCCTAGCATTAGAAGCACTAACAGGCTGATGTTTACAGGTAAAATGTCACAATCCATAAAAGATGCAACAAAATATATTGAACAAGGTCACATCAGAGTGGGTCCAGAAGTGGTGAAGGACCCAGCATTCTTAGTAAATAGGTCTTTAGAGGACTTTGTAACATGGGTTGATGGATCAGCAATTAAGAAGCATGTCATGGAATACAATGAAATGGTATGTATAGTTTCGTACAGGTTGTATAAACTGAAATATATCGCATTCTCTTTCTATGAGATAGTATAAACTATAATTAATCACACTATATATTATTTTTGAGTATCATAATTCATCTTGATAAATCTTGTCAGATTCAAGACAGATCCCGCTCTAATCAGTGTAATATTAAAATTGCTAAGCTATCAATTTGGCATATCTCACTACCTATTTTTTGTTGCCTGTTCATAATTTTTGTATACATATGCAAACTTATTTTATTTACATAAGTTCTATACCATTTAAAATGTTTTTTGTTTCAGCGTGATGACTATGATGTGTTATAAAATTTATATGTATAAAAAATTCGAAATTATTTTAAGTACATAACTTTGTAAGTAATAAACAATATAAGGATTGGTGTGTTTTATTTTGCTAATTATGCTTAAATTTGTCTACGTCATTTATTGACCATTTTGTTATCACATGTAAGTTTAAAGGGAATAATAAAAACATTGCAGTGTGGAACTACTTACGATAACTGCAAACTCGCTTGCTCAATATGATAAATTATCAATCTGAACATGAAACGTTCCTGCACTGTTTTACAATTAAAGGCTGATGAGCAAACCCAAATTAATTATCTTCTACAAAAGCAATTCAACTTGTCATCTATAGTGAAATAAAACTAATGTAATAATTAAAAAAGCATGTTCCACTATTTTTTATAACTGAACATATTTTCCAATATATATTACAAGACAACACAGCTATTTTGCATGAATCTGATATATTAAAGTAGAATACACTTGGTACTGACAATTTTGTAAAAAAAACAATCAACCTATTAGTTCAGAAACATTTTAAACAATGTGAGTAACAAATTAGTTTTAATCAGAGTATGTTACCTATAGCTATGGGACAGATGTGGCATTTACACTTTTAGAACGAATTTCAACAAGAAATGATGACAGATTGATTAAGTAGATTGACTTAAAGTAAAAGTTCACCAAAAATAGACATAAACAGGTTTAATAATCAATATTGTCTTATTGAAATCATGTCTACATGTTGCAATAGATAAATTAAATTTCTTTCAATTTTTACCCATGTAACAATGTTAATACTAGTAAAAACTAAATAAACACAACATTTGCAGATATTTCATTTTTTGCTGTGGTCCTAATTATATTAAATAAATAGAGATGACACCTAACAATATAAGTTGTCTATATTCATGAAACTAGCGTAAAATTTACAATTTACTTTGTATTATATAAGGGATTCATTAGTTTATGCACTATCGCACAGTACAACATCTACATTACAAGGCGCATAAAGTGCATTCTTTGTAAATCGTAAATATGTAATATTGACAAAAAATTTGCATGTTGGTGGATTCAATAGGGCATCAAATTTATATAAAATAGCTGCCTCAGTGATCTTCACATTTGTATTATTTAATAACTATACATAAAATAATACAATAATGAAATGGAATTTTTTAGCAACATATTAGAAATAATTAGGTATCATCTCAACACTGTGTCACTAGGTACCAAACGTGTCTTGTGCTAATTAAGTGATGGAGAGTGTCCATCGTCCCAAACAATGTCAATGCTAGGCCACTTCGTTTGCAGGCAGGTTAACATGGGGTCTGTAGTGGCTGCACGCATTGGACACTCCAATAAGGCTGCTCTGCCAGTCCGATATACTACACGTCCTCCGGGGTTGCTACGTGATAATCCATTATAATGGTGCAGAGTAAATGTATCTGGTGCTCCGCGCTCACAGCCCGGGAAAAACTCGTCCATAAATGCACTCAGCAAAATTATTCCTAAATTTTCAGAATCCAATTTCCGTCGCATCAATTCCACATACTCAGGTTCGCTTACAAGATCTGCAGCACACAGAACATCTTGCAGAGCGGCTGATGGTATAAAATTATTGCCCTCGGGATCAAACGACCGGAAAATCCTCTCAGCTGACTCTCCAACTGTTTCTGGGGCAGCAAGACGTCTTTCCATAGAAAATAATACAGTTAAATGAGTTTCAGAAGCTAAAACCCAAACTGGGTGTTTGGGATTTTTATAGAAGGAGCCCACTGTACAATATTGCATGTGTTCCATTATTGTTAAAAATCCAATGTCATTTTGCCTCTCAATTCCTCTCAGTCGTAATCCTCCTACTACCTGGTCATGATCCCATACATGTGCCACAGCTCGCCCTGTTAACATTAAATTTATAAGGCCCTGTGATCCATATCCATATGTTGAATGGATGAGAGGGTCTGATAACTCTGATAATTCAGCCTCTACTGTTTCCACTCCTTTGCTTAGAATGACACTGTATAATAAAAGAAGTACACCATATTTATCTTTCAAAATACGAATGTTACGGTTGTAAAAAGATTCCACTTCTGATAAAGTTTGAAATGAATGAACTTCTAGCCTTCTGTGAAAATGCTCAATAGCATCACAGGACTGTTCTTCAACACTCACATTGACACTGGAACTGCCTTCCGCTCCCGCGTCGCCTTTACGATACACTGCGACATTGTACTTAGCCGCTAGACACTGGCTTAATATCATACACACAGCCCTAACAAGGAGTGAATTGCACTTTTCTGAGGTCAAGTCGTGTAAACTATGCCCAGGAGTCTCTGAGAGTAGGATTTTAAGTAGGAACCCTTGCACGGGCGCGATGGCTGCACATGGACCTCCCTCTTGTTGAATAAGTGCACTAGGTTCATCTGTACTGAATTGGAAACCTTGCGCCCAGCGCCTAAACACGTCTTCCTTAACATTGTCTCCCCACAGTAGCCGTCGCGTACTCGCTAGCTCGCGCTCCAGTGACGCTGTACCAGCGCTCATATTACTTTCCGATGCTACACTCGAGGTACCCGTTTGGTCTTCGTTCGAGTTGGCTAACATCAGATTATATTCTACACCACCTACAAATCATGAGAAATAATTATCGCAATAAATCGAATATAAAGCAATTTAAGCAGCCATACCGGCCCTTCAATTGAATCAAGCAAAACTACAGACACAAAAAGAATATAACCACGTAGTTGATACTCACTAAATATACAAAATTATTAGTAACCTTCAACATTTATAATTATTTTTCTTTATATAAAACCGATTCAACATAGAATACGTATCGAATAGCATTATAAATCATCCAATAAACTGTAATGAAAACTTTTCATAAAAAGAAAAGCTTACGACATAAAGGCTGCCATTTTTATTGAAAAATAGCAACATTAAACATTTACATTATTATGTCAATTCAGTTGTTAACTATTTTTTGTAAGTAATTAAAAATAATTTTATATAGTTTATAATGTAAACATGCAAGGATATTTAAAAGTAATTTCTCTGGCAATAGTCGTTTATTATTGTTGTACAAGTTTGAGGCTGCTTCAAAACATAATTTAATAAATCATTCTCTACTCACTCGGAAATGTGTCTGTGGTATTAGAAATTAAGATTTATCTTCGTCTCCTAACAATAGTCTATAGTCTGTGGTCTGTCGTCAATAATCATTTGATACTGGTGGAAATATAAAAAATATTCAGTCAAACATGGAAGTTGTCGGGTGAGCGTAGTGCGAATTCGCTTTAGTTTTTTATTTCGTGAATAATTATTTTTCGTTATACGTGTTACTTGATATATTAGCCCGATTAGTTTCGTCATTTAAGTGAAAATGTGTTAGTTAGTTCAATGTGTTGATTTCATTTAATAATTGAGTGCTTGGTTGAATATTTCAACATAATGAAGGTGGACTTGGGCGTTTGGAGTCGACGCTTCGTGTTGAATGTCGCGGCAGGTTTGTTCAGTCCTCATTAGCTAATGAATCAAACACACCTAAGTGATGTTATTTACCACATCTGCATTCGTGGTTTACTGCAATTATAAGTTTGTAGCGCGTACACAATCTTGTTTGAAAATTTTGTTTCGCTTACAAAAAAAAACTACGTTTCACAATTTTTTCTTAATTTTCATTACAACTTCAACTAATTAAAGGTTATATATCACATAAGCACCTACCTACCTTATTGGTTGATAGTGATCTTTCTTTAATAGCTTTGTAAAAACTTCGGTCACTAACTTTGAATATCTTCTGAATGTATGTTTAAAAGTAAGTAATATAGGAAGTCTATCATTTCAAAATAACAGATTTTTTTGTCTTCCTCTTTCTTTAAAAAAAATACTCAATAATATGGTTGCTATTAAAAACCATTCAGTAGCATTTCTTAGTTTAGGATTCTGTACCCAAAAGGTAAAAATGCAGCCCTATGACTAAGATTTTGCTGTCTGTCTATTACTAGAGTTTAAAGAACCACAATAGCTAGATAGTTAAAAAACAAATAAATATTTAAAAAATAATTATGTATTTCTTCCTCTATAACATAAGTACTAAACTACTAAAAAACAAAATAAAATATTTTATATTTAGAGGAGGATATTTTGACAGAGCACTGTTTAAGTATAATATAGTAAAATTCAATATAACATTACTGTACATATTTTTAATCTTGAGAATAGTATCAAACCCATCCTGCGCCATTTTGTCTCGCACTTGACTGATATTGCAATACAAATGAAAGGTGCTCTAATATTACAATATTGTGTGTGGCCAGCCTATTTTACTCACTCTATAACAATGGATTAAGAGAGAATGCAGTTCAGAGGTGAGAGTTGCAAAGTGTTGTTCCATGTTAGAAAGTTGCTCTCATTAGTATGAAAGTGTTGTTGTATAGTATGTGTTGCAGTGGGTTGTTTTAATATTTTAAATATCAAGATAATCATTTTATAAAGAAATAAATGTTTCACTAATACAATCCTTTGTAAAATAAAACTTTAACAAATATACCATGAAAGCAATTTACATGTGCTTCGACATATTTGGGTAGAAAAACTCACTAGATTCATACAAAGCTGACATGTGGTGCCTATTATTGTATACCTATTCAGTATACATTTATTTAGATTCTTCTAATGACATATATAAATATTTTCTATATCAAATTATTGGCCAAGTTTGAAATCAAATGAAAAATTTTTTTTTTTTGAATTTACACATCTGAGGTCGGAGCTGTAGGCACTTGTCAGTTGTGTTTGGGCTGTTAACGGCACTGGGCAGGTGTGCGCCTGCGCTTAGTGATGCGCGACCATACGCCCCGTGACCTTCCTTGCGTTCACTGCAGAACAATACATGATAAACTATTATTATTTATAGAGTTATGAGTCTGGTCTATTGACGAATATATAGAATTTCAAATAGTTTTTTCTTCTGTAACAATAACAGTATAACTACAGTAAAAAATAAAATTGAAATGAGAAAAATAAAGACTTTTATAAGGAACAGAATATTTAAATAAAACACTTTAACGGTCTAAGACGCGATATATTAGTTAAACTTATTTGAAAACGATTTTTAACTTCGGCCCGACGTTTCGGATGCTTTGCAGCAGTCGGAGTCTCCCCACGTTAACTAATGTATCGCGTTTTAAACCGTTAAAGTGTTTTATTTAAATGTGTACTACTCGCGTAAACTACAGACAGGAACAGAATGATCAGAAAAAACGTTGACTTGGTAGGTAGGTCAATCTTATTCTGGGACTGCTCTTAAGGAGAACTTAAAAAAAAAAACTTTGCTCTTGATGACAGCTTTTTCTTTGTCTTGAATAGCAAATTGTTGGTAAAATGTGACAAGTTTTCAGCGGCCTCCCTAAACTCCATATGTAAAAATATTCTATTGCAAGTAGTGGGCCTCAACTACTTAATAAGGAATAACTTATAAGTAGTACTGGGAATACACTCCTGGCACCGTACCATGCCCTAACTACATTAGCATTAGAAATGTAGCGGGCATGACCGATTAGCCTATTTTCGTAATTGCAGTGCTTTATCTTTTTTCTGTTTTCTTTAACACTTTTTAAAGTGAAACGACCCGACTAAGAACCCGTTTAACAAAATGTTTTTGATATAAATACAACCTGGGATTTCTCATAACAACGATTAAATTATAATTGTGCCACTCATTCATAATACTAAAGATTAAAAGATTTTTGATAGAAGCGTGTATTAAACACGTCTATTTAATTTTGGGGTTCGGGAATTTAAAAAAAATTTGGTTTTTTTTTTAAAAAAACACCCACCCCCAAAAAATTTTTTTAAAAATTTGGTTTTTTTTTTTTTTTTTTTAAAAACCCCCCCTTCCAAAAAATTTTCCCCTTTTTTTTTTTTGGGGTTTTTAGCGTTGTATTAATTATTATTACACAACGATATTACCGTTAGTTGTCTCGCATAATACTGCGATGGGAAAGCGTGTCTGTTCTCGAATTATCTTGCAAAGAATAATGTTTCGTGGTTCACCGCTTGCACTTGGCAAATTGATAGTCGTCAAAATCTTGTATTACGCATTGAAAGCGTGTACAATTTATATTAATGTTAGTGGAGATAGCTATTAATCGTTTATACAATATTATTATGTGTATATCTGTAGTTTACGCGAGCAGTGCAGAGCAAAACGCGGTATATATAGGTCGCCTGCTGACTAAACGTCGGGCCATAATTAAACGTTTTAAAAATTGCTAAGATCGATTAACCAGTATTAATAGTGTAAACCTCTACTACTCCTATCTTATTACGATTCATTTGTTTGCAAACTCGTTCGAGTTTTACCGTCGTTACAATGATACAGTAAATTGCGACTGTTTATTACAAAATAGCACAATAATGTGGTTTCCTGTATACTCAGTATGCAGTAGGATTTTCATTTCACACTTGGGCTAATTAAATGTAAAAGCTTCCTCATATCTCGAGAAACGCGATAGTCCAGTATTTACCGTAATCTAGTTAGTGATAATACTCTTCTTTAACTGTGGTAAAAACGTTGAAAGAGAAATACCCTAGTGGTTAATTATATTTAGATATTATGTTAGAAATTGTATTTGGCTCAATGCTCTAACGCACTTCGTTTGGGAGAGATCGTGGGTTGAAATACCGGGAGACATTTTAAATGGTTTTAGTCGTGCAGAGTGAAGTCTCGTCAACTTCTTGCGCGTAAATAATATGAAGTGAAACAGACACAGAAATGCGTCCCTTTGCCAACGTGTGACAAGCGTCATACCACATAATATTATTAAAGAACTAGAAACGTCCGTGTCCGGTGAACAAAAATTTGTTTCTGGTGTTTGATATTATTTAAGTTTACATTCCTACTTTGTGACTTTTATCTAATAGAACGTACAGATAAAAAGCTGATTGTTGTGGGTTTACCTGCTTATTTAATACTTAGCGGCGCCTGGGACGTTAATTGTTTCTATATTTAAATATTTTTCAACTATCAGCCCTTTCTGATACATTCGAAGGGTGGATGTTGTGCACTTGTTGCTAAGGCGATTGCGTGCAATAATGGGGGTCAGTAATTAACAGTTGAGTCGAAAAAGTTTGGGGTGGGAAAGAAGGCATGACTAACACGTAGATATGAATGAAAATGGAAACTTAGTTTCATTCGTATTTACATGTTCTTTAAATATTTATGCTTCTGGATTTATATGTCTGTAAAAAACCGGAAGAGGCCGCGACACATCCGTAAAGATCCCAACGACGATGTAACAATAGCAGTGGTATCCACTCGTGCCACAATGCGATCCCGTGCCGTACCGATAGTCGGCTTCGTCCATCTCTTCAGTCTGGACCACTCACGTTGCAATGATCTAAACCTTTAGTTTAGTCGTAAAGATGGCGTTTCAAATGGTTAAAAAAATGTTAAAATCTGTAAGCCGGAAAATATACAATTTTGGTTTAATTTTAACAAGCAAAATCATATTATTTTATTATAAATAGTATCTATTAATTTTTTTAGAGAAACTTCGTAGCAGTATGGATCTCGTCTCGGGTTAGGCTCATGAACCGACGTCCACAGGTGAAATCCGAATAAAATTCGGATTTTTCTTTTTTATTTTATTTTTCTTTAAATGTTATGTCACTGATGTTATAGCATTGTTGTTGGAAGTATTGTACTTCTATCAAGTTAAACATTGGGTTAACTTGAAACATCAGTTACGCAGCGTTAGTAGTGATGCTGTACTTAAATATGTTATTTGAATACCGGTCGAGCATATCTCGATGCATTGCGAGGTAAGAGGAAAACTTAAGGGGCCACCGTCACCACAAACGTCGCGGATTCGCGATGGTGTTCGCGTAATGATGGCAACGGTGTCTGATACCGTTACGTGTCGTAAAATATAAGCGTTAGCGAGAACAGCCAAATTGACTCTGAAATCTTGACTGCGTGACTATGACAAGAATAAAAAAGTATTCTTCTTGAGAGCTTTCTTACTATAGAATCGAGTCATTGTTTCTAAAGTTTTGCAGCCGTGGTTGTATACATTTTCCAGCTCGTACTGGTTAATAAAATACTGTGTGTTGTCTCTCCGTGACCATGGCTGCTGCAAAGCATCCGAAACGTCGGGTCGTAGTTAAAAATAATTTTCAAACTCAAAGTTTAACTAATATATATCGCGTTCGGAACGGTTAAAGTGTTTTATTTATATTTATATCTTATAAGATTAACTCACAATAACCGTTTTTATGGTAATTAAACTCGGTCAAAATACTTCGTATGGCTTCGTTTGCCAGGCTCCCTTGTAATGTATAAGACATAAAAGTTTAACAAAAAAACATTGTGTCAAATGTAAATTTATTTGCTTACCCATACTAAGTAGTATACCTCGACACGCTTTTAACTGAAATCATCCATGATTTTACTCGCACATCCTACCATCCATCATATAAGTACGGTTAAATTAAAGCTTT